ATCGTATTTGCTGTGTCATTTAGGTGTAATTTGTCTTTCTACTGTTAATTATTTTCATGCTCGGGCGACTCCTGTGTTGTCGTAGTACTTCGTGTTATTTAAGGTGGTGTATTGGCTAACTGTGAACTTTAATTTTTGCTGTTCGAGATGTATATTAAAGGAAGCGTGACATGTTGGTTTGTGTAATGCAAATGTTACCAACGATGTACATATTTAGTACTTGTAAACTTTTATTTTGTTTTTTTGCTGTATGTCTAAACTTTTATTTTGTTTTTTTGCTAGATCTCTTTTGAATGAAGCGTTTCTCTTATTTCACTTCTATTATACATATGGCAATTTGTAATGACTATGGGACATATTGTTTTCTGTAGTGGAGATGTTACCAATGATAAACACTTTAATATTTTTTTGTGCTGGATGTCTTTTGTGTAGTGGAGATGTTAACAATGATAAGCACTTTAAATTTTCTTCTTCTAGATGTCGTATGAATAAAAAGTGACTCTTGCTTGACATATCATTTGGGTTGATAGCATGCTATGTTTTTTACTATTTTACACATCATTCAAATAAATTTCATTAATATTGAGTCGGAGATACTAGAAAATTAACCTTACATCACCTAAAGTTTACATAAAGCAAACAGAGATACTAGAAAAGCTAAAACACTCATAAAAAGTGTTACCCTAGCTAGTAGCTTAACAAATTCATGTGTTGCTTCAATTACTCTTACACTTGATATAAGTTGTCCAGATTCATATTTAATTTTATCAACATCTTCCACCAAATTATCATACTCGATCATTCCTTCATCCAGTGGTAGGTGCTGTGGTCGAGTTACTATTTCAGTGATATTGGATGAAATGGGGTAGCACCACTCCCAAAAGCTGCATACTTTTTGTGGATGATGACATACATAATACAGCTTCCCTGTGTTCTTCCCTTTCTCTGTAATTCTAACGTCTGCTTTTTCTCCACACCCACAATATTTAATTGCATACCTTAGGTCTCTAAACTCACCGGAACTAACCTGTCCGAGGTATTCAAATGCATAATGAAAAAATATATAACCATATATAACAAATATGTATAAATAATGGATGAAAACATTGAAGTAGGAATGTTTTTTGTTGCAATAGAGACTTGTACTTACAGTTCTTGGATGACCACCACTGTTGGTTGATGAAGCATGGAATAAGCAGATATATAGAAGATTGAGGAAAATAGAAGTTGCTATGTGAAATGAGATAATTTTGTACCTATATATAAGGGATTTTGACGTATAGGGGTTTTCAATGGTAACAAAGTTTACAAACGGTCATAATGGTAGTATATATATATATATATAGGTGAAAGTACTGATGCAAGTCTCAAGTGAAAGTACTGATGCAATGAAGTACTTACTAGGAAAATGACTTTGAATGCAAGGTAGGAAAATGTTGAGATTTACACTAGGAAAATGTTAGGATGCAAGGTAGGAAAATGTTAGGATTTACACCAGAAAAATGTTAGGATGCAAGGTACGAAAATGTTGGGATTTACAGTAGGAAAATGTTGGGATGCCATGTAGGAATATTTTGGTGACGTGTATCGACAAATAATATGTGATTAACAGTTGTGATATGATGAAAACGGATTTACACATTAGTTGAGCTTGCTGAGAACATGTTTAATAATTTAGTTGTGGGAGAACATTTCGTTGCTGAGTATGTTTGCTTTTATAATGTTGAAAGTTCTGATGTTGGTGGTTGCTGATATGACCAGCAATTAGTGATGTAATTGTGATATCTTTATAATGTTGAAACTTCTGATGATTAGTCCGCCACTTATTCTATTTAATGCAACAATACTTCTGTCCTAGCTGGTGAGGATAATTTGGGATACAACTTGGGAAAATGTTGGGATGCAGCAATTTTGTGTGTTGAGATACACAGTATGAAAATGTTGGGATTCATCATACGAAATTATTTGGATCCTAATGTTTGCCAATTTTGGGATGCTAGTAGGGACAAACTTGGGATGCACTTTAGTAAATTTTGGTAACGCACTGACTCAAATTATTATGTCATTAACAGTTGTGATATGATGAAAATGGATCATATTTGAAGACCTTCATACACCTATGTATTGCTTATGAATTTGTGTTTTCATTTTTTACCAAACCCCTGACTGAATGTACTGTTGCGAAGGTTTAGTTAATGTGATGTTATGATCAAGTTAACTTTTAGAGAATCTAGTTTAAGTAGTGATTTAACTATGAACGTCACACTTCCATGTTAGTATACTGAGATGGCCGAAAGTTTACTCTACCACTTATCAACAATACATCTGTATGACCCACCAGGAAAACATTGATTTACACAATTCAGTTTGAGTAGTGATGTATGTAATTATCATAGTGGGTGAGAGAATATTGAATTTAGTATATATGAACATCAAAACTAAAGACTTAATTTCACAATATAGTGAGTCAGCCGAAAGTTTAGTCCCTCACTTATTCTATTTAATGCAACAATACATCTGTCCCAGCTGGTCGGGATAATTTGGGATACAATTTGGGAAAATGTTGGGATGTAACAAGTTTGTGTGTTGAGATGCACAGTATAAAAATGTTGGGATTCATCATTTACAAAACTATATATTTACTTGTGAAAAGTGAAAGCAAAAAAACCAATAGTTTACCATAATTGCCAAATGCATATAACCACAAATACATAAAATCGTTTACAATAATTGGCAAATAACAGAAATATAAATTCCTCCGGTGCAACTTAACTATGCTAACCTACCAAACTAGGAAGTATATACAAACTTCATCCATACAACCCAATTCCCATTTGGAGGTAGCACCAACGCCAAACTGCACTTAACTATGGCAGACAAATTCATTCAAAAATTCAGAAAACCAAAAGCTCTTTCCTTTGTTTTCTTGCTGCAGATACCACAGTCATTGGTTAGCCCAATTAGAGGTGTATGTAATTTAAAATTATCTTTCGATACAGTGGGAGAGAATTAGACGAAGTTGACATGGATAAAGTAAAATACATAAACATTGCTTACTCAATATTTGAACAATTGTTGTTGAATTGGACGACTAATCTCTGAGTTTGGCAGTTGCGACATTTCAGTGGAAGTCAATTGCCCGAGGTTGGGAGTAGGTGTCTTTATTTATGACCGTGGAAAGAAATTGGAATTGTTAGATAAAATAAAGAAATAACTCATAACAGATAATAATATTGGTTTGGCTGACAAATCATATTAAAATATATACCATTTGACTTCCCAAATTAGCCGTGCACTATTCGCCATACAAAGAAGGAGTACTAAATAGTTCAGATGAAAACAACCGTGAATCACCAATAGAACTCTGCAACATTTTATAGTGTTCATTAGAAATTATGGGAATTAAATCTAGAAAGCGTGCTCCACTAATACAATGCAATTGATTCAACATAATTACCTGGTTACTTAATGGAGTAATAGGTTGCGGAAAATGAATACTGGGGCTATACGGAGGTTGGAAAGCCTGCCTATTATGCATTATAGGTGGTGGTGGCATATAACATTGATGATGTATACATTCACCTGGATTTTCATTGCCCTTTAACAAAAATTGTGTACTTCTGTTAGGTTACAGTAAACTTGTATACAAAATTAATGAATTGCACAACTATCACGAAAATTAAGTGTTGGATATGATATAGTCGTAACAATACTAACATCGACTAATAGATATGTTTGACTACAACTGCCACCTCCCACTTTGGAGACCATGTTATCATTCGCTTTCTAAAACATAATAACATTCAATTTTTATTCGATTCAGCACACAACCAGAAATGACAAATAAATCCATAACATTAATGTAAAACAAGGACCACAATAATGTAAGTACAATATGAAAAGTAAACTAAAAACTTTTGGTAAATACCTCAACTATTCTTTTCATACACTTACTCTTCTTCTTGGCATTTTTCTTAGTGGGAGATTTGCGCCTATGCATTTGTCGTTTACATGTATCTTTCGTCTTGACGCCCACGGGAATTATTCCATTGTTTTTTATCTCCCTATTATTCTGCATTTTACCAGCCTTTCTACTGCCAACCAAAGTACGACTACAACTTCTTTGGGCAGATTTGTTCCATTCCATTGCTTTTACTAATAAATCATTATATCCCTCGTTGTCTTCCGATGCAATGGAAGATATTTTGGTCAAAATACGACAAATGGTCCTGTGTCGTCGCCTTACCTCAAGTTTAGGATCCATTAACACTTCATAGCCAAGAATCTCATCTAAGTTCCCATCTCTGGCTTTCCTAGTCCACCTTCTTAATATATATCGAGAAGGCAATTCAGTGATATTCATACAATCCTTAAGGATTTTTAAAATATGACTGCACAAAAATCTATTCATTTCAAATTTACCACATGAATAAGATAATTCATCCTCAACTGTTCTAGTCATAGAACGTTGCATCCCATTACGACTAGTAACTTTATAAACACGTTGTCCATTGTTATCCATGTCACTACAACTATTAACATTATCACTCACACAAGCTGTTAAAAACTCTTCCTGGAAAAGCTGAAATATAACTTTTGTGTATGTCTCCCCCGCTTTAAGTAACATGTCACACTTTGATTTGACTTGCGGAAGCCTCTGCAGCAAACGGTACTGGGCTTCATACTCCTTGTAACGCTTATCCGACAACAGCCTATCAAAATGGGTGAAGAAATCAGGAAGAATGAGTTGCCTCGATAAGTATTCCTTCAAGCGAGCATTGAAACTTTCACTCAATTGTGTAGTGCACATTCTCGCACACCACGTATATTTAACGAATGCCATGGCCCATCTATGTCTCAAGCTAAACAAATGCTCAAACCATGTGTTACCAACAAGATCATACACCCTTAGCATTGAATCCCATTCTAACATAAATTATTTCTCCTCCTCAATTTCGAACATTAATTTAGATATCACATTTTTGATGCGTTCATCATGTTTAAACAAGAACCCAACATGCTTTTGTGCATTTTGCATTAGATGCCACGTACATAGATGGATGTTTTGTACCAGGCATGACCTAAAACATAAAATCATGTTTGAGTCATAACATTTAAAATAAACCCTAAAATCATGTTAGAATAATAAACATTTTCCCATTATTTACTTCATTGTATCAATTAGGCATTACAGGTATTTTCAGTATATGAAAAGGAGTGTAGATCTTAATTCAAGTTACTTGCATCAAAGCCTTTGCCATTGCTGCATCTTGATTAGTCAAAATTGTTTTTGGTGTCTTTCCGGACATCGCTTTCAAAAAAGTATCAAATAACCACACAAAAGAATCTCCCGTCTCATCATACATAAGGGCTGCCCCGAATACAGTCGTCTCCCGGTGTTGATTAACACCCAAAAACAATGCAAATGGACGGTTTCCATATACAAGTTTGTACGTAGTGTCAAAAGTTACAACATCTCCAAAATGGCCATAATCAGTTATCATTTTAGGATCTGCCCAGAACATATTGGTTATCATCTGTTCAACATCCAACTGTAAGGCATAGAAAAATGAAGGATCATTACAAGCATGAGTGACAAAATAATTGGTGAGCCATGCTGCCTCACCATATTGAAGCTCATTCTGTCTGCGGGTCCTTATATAATTTTGTTGGTCCAGCTTAATGTATCCAACTGATTCTTTACAACCAGCTTGCCTTGCCATTAACTCATATAAATTATGAGTTGCAATACTTGAATCTGAAGCCAAGTCTACATCAATGGCCTGGACGCTAGAAATACATCTCTGCAACGGCATCATGTGGGTGCATTCATCAATTATCAAGGGATGGTTGTGACTATCTACAAAATTATCAACTAAGTACTTTCCCTTTGCTTCATCATATTTACTATGTATTCGTGCACCGCAACCAGTTCTTGTTTCAGCTCGCGGAGTCTTTGTATATTTGTCCCTTCTATCCTTCTTCCTAACACCCTCCTTGCAACAAGTAAACAACCTCGTTGAAAGTTTCCCAGTTTTAAGGCTATTATTAAAATACTCCCTTCGGATGCTAAATCCAACTCTACCCCCATATGCATTATAAAATTCGTATGCCTTTTGTTCCGTATCAAACTCCATCTTAAACCTTGGTTTCCATTGATTCACTTGGAGCTCTATAACTACAACATTTGTTGTGTCTTCAATATCTATCTTCCATCGAAAGGAGTAAAATTTTTAGCCTATAACATAATTCAAGTAAAATTTCCTCTTTCTAACTTGTTGTACGTATATAAAATACACAAGATAATAGAAGAGCTTAAATTTAAAATATAGGAACACCAATGACCATATATCACCAATGAACTGCATAAAACATCTCTTCCAAAAATATAACATTTATAACTATACAATACAAAAAAGGGAACAACTGATTTGAATTGAATAATCCCCAAAACTATATGAAGAGCACGTTCCAATAGGTTAATGTGAATAATCCCCATGTCTAAGACAGCAACATCCTAACTATGTTCTAACATGCCTCACCAATGAAATATATGCAACCTCACTTTTGTGTTTTTTCTTTTTAAACTTCATTTCAACATATGAATATTGATACACGTATCTTTTAAAATAAGATCTAACATTTATAATTATACAATGCAAAAAAGAGAAGAACTGATTTGAATTAAATAATCCCAAAAACTGATGTGAATAATCCCCATCTCTAAGATTACTAGATCCCAACTATATCCTAACATGCCTGAGCAATGAAATATATACAAAATCAATTTAATTTTTTTTTTTTAAAATTCATATCAACATAGGAATTCATACACCTATCTCTTCAAATAAATTATAACATTTTTCATTATACAATGCAAAAAAGGGAATAATTGATTTGACTTGAATATTCCCAAAATGTGTTTCAAGTACACGTCCCAACATGTCAATATAAATAATTCCAATCTCTAACACTATAAAATCCCAACTCTGTTCTAACATGCGTGATCAATGAAATTTATATTTCAACATATAAACTGATACACGTATCTCTTCAAAAAAAATCTAACAATTATAATTATACAAAACAAAAAAGGAATAACTAATTTGAATTGAATAATTCAAAAAAGTATATTGACAGCACATCCCAATGTGTTAATCTAATCAATCCCTATTTCCAATACTTCAACGTCCCAACTCTGTTCTAACATGCCTACCCAATGATATATATATACAAAATCTCATATTTTACTTTGTTTCACTATATTAATTCATACAAGTATTTAAAATCAATAGTCAATCGCAAATATTATACTTAACTTCTATTAGGGAAAAATAACAGATAGATCATTGAATAGACTCTAAAAATTAAAACCAAAAAACATACCCAATATCAGTTAGTTGTAGAGAATGTGTTGTTTTAAAGTCTTTACCAAATTCCTCAACTTTGCCTTCACTTCCAAAGAAGAGAATCAACAAGTCCACAAGTTTAGCTTCTACTTTGTGAAGAGAAAAAAATGGATCATCTTTACAACATGCCTCAACTTTGCCTTCAGATCCAAACGAACCCCCTCAACCAGTTCACAAGTTAGCCTTCTATTTTTGTGATGAGAAAAAATGAATCACAATATACTCTGTGATCACTTTTCTATTGGGATTGTGGAGGGGTAGAGAGAGAGAGAGAGGGAGAGATAGAAAGCAACTGAAATGAGGTGAAGAAGATTAAAAAATGAAAAAAAATCGCGGGCCTTTTTGAAATTGAAATGAAACTCAAGTTTTACCCCTTTTTACTTGTTATTTGGTGGGCCCATACGTATAATATAGTAGGTAGTATCTATAACCGGCAGTATCCAAATATATATACTATACACTTTTACTGTTCATTATTTTTTAACGCATTTTACTGTTCATCTACGATTTAGTGTTCATGTACTGTGCACCGGCTACAACAGATTTACTGTTGCGCCGGAGACGATTTTGATCCAGGAGGGAATATGTTGTGTAGGGTAGTTGAGTTGGTAATAGAAAATTTGCTTGATGGTGATGGAATCCAATGCAGTTTATCTGGGGATTAGTGGACTGTGTTGAAGTAACAAGTTGTGGAGAGAGAGTTGAGGTATGATGTTGGTGATGGTGGTTGGGAATGTCCAAGATGAATTAGTGATGAATGCACTGAAGATGCAGAAAATCTTCCCTCTCAAATTAGAAAGAACAACTCTACACTTCAAATATTTTCCAACCCATTTTCCCTCTATAGACTGTTACAGACCTTTTAGAAGTTTCCTAACTAACTCCTTATTATAGGCTGTTCCTCTGGGCTTTTCTTGATTATGGGTTCAATTCCTTCTGTCTAAAGTCGGGCTTCCAACATCAATTCCCGGTCTTGGGCTTGACTAATGAAGATTTGGTCCAGAATGGTTGTCCTTCTCCGACCCATTCTTAACCATCCGGATCGTACTCAACCTAGGTCATTTTTGGTATCCTCATCTGCCCCCATAATCTCTCCTTAATTAATTAGGGTGAGATTATCGAAAAGACATAATCATGACATGACGGCTCGAAGTAGTGATGTGGGGAAATGAACTGTTGGTTCAAAGATCCATGCTTTGAGATCTGCAGCACCATCTTCGACATAGTTCCTTGAAGGTTGAACCATTTCACTTTAAAAATCCTAACTTCTTATTTTTTGCCTTTCTTCAACCTTTCTTATCTTCATCTTTTAGTGTCATCTTCTTCGATTGTTTCTGTCACCCACCTATACTTTCCGGCAAGCTTTCTTTGCTTTCTCCGGCGAGTTTTCCTTTTGTGATTTGACTTTTGCTTTGTTATAGGATACTTTGCAAACTCTCTTTACACGATTAGTCCCTTCCTCTTGCTGCTTTCCTTAAAAGAAAGGAATTTTATACTTAAAAACTTCTTTCCCCCTTTTATGGCTCCCCTCGATTTGGACGCTATTCGTTCGAGGAACAATATCCCTAATGACGTCCCCCTTAGGGTTTATCCCACGAATCTGGATGAGAGCTCCGATGAGGGTCTCTCTCCTGGGGATATTCTCTTTTTGGCTCTTCATTTGAATGTGATCAAATTTCCCTTACACCCGTTCTTCTGCTATGCCTTTAGTGAATTTGGGTTTTACCCTCTTCAGGTTAACCCTAACTTCCTTAGGGTGATATTGGTCCCTTTAATTTTGAATCGTGATAGGGGTATTAACTCAAATATAATAGACCTTCTTTTTTGCTATCGAGTCACCAAAACCAGAAACAACGAAATGTATTTTCACTTCCATCCCATCGAGAAACGATCCATCTGTACGGACAAGCTCTCATTTGAAAAAGGTTGGAAGAAAAACTTAATTGGGGTCAGTGGAAATTAGGGAACTCCATTCCCTTAGACCTTCCCTATCCCAACCACTTTTAGAGAGTGCTATGTCCTTCAATATAAAAAATTTAAGAGGCATCCTTCTGATTGCCATTGTGAATCCTGTCTTCCTCATTTCTGTACTTTTCTTTGTAATTGCCTTCAAATAAATCATGATGAGTTGGTTTACAGTGTTTGTAGGCCAAGCTTGATATTCTAAAGGAGAAAGTTCTGAACAACGTCCCCTCAGCCACTGACCTGCTAACCCCTGACAATCTCTCTGATATATTCGCTCTTGGATCTACCATAGAGAACATCCAAATTCCATCTTTCAATAGGAGGAGGCGTCCTATTCCTACTCCTTCAGCCGCACCAGCCATTACAATAGTTACTTCAACCACCTCGGTTTTGCCCCCAGCCACCGAACATCCGATCGCTGGGCCCTCTGCACCAGCTTCAACTGAAGTTCAGGCTATTGTGCCGAACAACAAACCTTCTGACATTTTAACTGCAACTTTTCCAAATGATGCTCAGAATGTTGGGGGTTCTTCTGAGAGCACTGAAGGATCTCCTCCTCCCCAAGCTAACATTTTAGATAAAAGCTTGGGAAAAAGGCCCATGCTTGAGGGTGGTCTTAATTAGAGTGACCTCCCTCTAGCCCAGAGGGTCCGAACTTCTTTCAGGGTCACTAACCCTTCTCCCCCTCCTCAGCTGTCCATTCCGGAAGGTGAATCAGCCAAAACCTCCAGCTCTTTACCAACAGTGACCCTATAACGCCCCTTGCTTAGTCATAAGGATGGGTCAATCATTGCCCACACAGACTCTTTGTTCAAGGATCCACTTACATCATTTGCCTTAAAAAGGCTTTTGGACTCCCAAAGACATTGAAATTCAGAACAAAATGACCTTCAATGAAATGTATCAGCAATTCCCAGCAGCTGCTGTTGAGGTAATTCTTCCTTTTCTTTTTATATATTTTTTCTCGTTCTGATTACTTGACGGTTGTACTTATCAGAACACCTTTGCCTTTGTGCAGACTCTATTTGGGATGTTCACTTTTCAAAAGAGCATTGAAATTCTGAATAAGAAGATCAAATCCCTCTCAGCTGGTCTTAAAAGATCTGTTGACTCAGAGAGAATAACTGAAAACAAAAACACAGAGCTGCTGGTTAAGCTGAATGAATCAGAAAAAGTGATGGAAGCTCTGAGAACCGAGAGGGACGCTCTAAAGGCTGAGCGGGATGCTCTAAAAATTGAGTACCGCTCTGTTCAATGTTATTGGCCATGTTAATGGCGGTATGAGAGCTCTTCATACACGTTTCACTAGGATCGGGGCTCTTAGATATACTGAGGGGTATAGAGACGGTTTCATTGACCGGTCTCCTCCTGAAGATAAGTCTAGCTCCTGTGCAGGTCCGGATGAACTGGATGCCTCACTGAACATTGACCCACCGGGTGTATACAAGGATCCATTCCCCATTCCAACTGAGAACATCTTTATTGAGTGCAATTAGATTACATCTTCAGGAGTTATTCCACCCATTCGTCCTCTGAACGTTCTTCCCATCACCACCACTGCTCCAGTCACTTCTGCTGTTACTAACGGAGCTTTACTAGCTAATGGAATCATTTATCTTGATTCTCCCTCCAGAGGGGATGAAGCAGCCAAGATGGAGAGGTTAACACTGAACCAGCAGGTGATGATGGGCAGGCAATGGAGCCGTCACAGAAGAGGGCATTGTAAACTAATGTTCTGCTGATTTTTGCAGTTATTTTCGTTT